CTGGTTTTAGACCTATTTGAAAATAGCCTGTCGTTAAATCTAACGTATTCTGTATTTCGTAGAAGTTATGTTCCTTAAAATTTTTTCAATAATAGGTAATGGATATACCGGATATTTAGTTATGTCGATCAACTTACGATAGTCAATTGCGAAACGCCACCGTTTTGGTTGTGTACTTGGATAATCATTATTTTTCTTACATAACACAACCGGGCTAGCATAACTACTTGAGATGGGCGTTATGATCTTTTTACGTAACATATCTCGAATGTGCCACTCTATAATTTTTTCTTTATTCTTATCATATCGATATGGTTTGTGGCGAACTGGCAGTGAATCTCCGGTGTCGATACTATGGTCAGTAACTTGAGTAAATCCGGGAATATCACTAAATAACGAAGCAAATTCACTTACCACTTGTCGAACTTTTTGTTGCTCTTCCTTAGACATGTGGTCGAGGTTTAACGTCGGTGGTTCTGTTTTTTCTTCTCGAACTGGTTTCATCGTCAGCTTAAGGGACGCTTCGTTAAAATCCAACGTTGCTTCCGCCTCTGAAAGAAAATCTATCCCTAAAATGACATGTGCTTGTAAATTTTTTACGATAAAAAACATGATCTTTACTTGCTCGTCCTTGATACGAATATATAAGGGTATTTACCGCTCCTGTATCCAGGAGTGCGGTGGCTGGGATGTTATTCACCAAAACTTCAATCTTTGGAAGAGTCAAATTTTTCACCATTACTGTATTTAACTTGAAGGAAGAGGGTTTTTCTTGGCCTTCGGATTTCCGCACCCTCCCGTCAGCAGAAATCCGTTTTAGTTTAAATCTTGTTTTTTCCTTTCCATGCTTTCCTTCTTTTTCCACTCTCCTTCAGACTTTTTTTCTGGATTGCTATTGAACTGTCGACGTTCGCCGGCTGTTTTTGGATACTCGGGTTTCCTTGCCCACTGATTCGCTTTGCTTCCGTAGCCGTGTGCTTGACTTTGCTGTGGTCTTGGCGCACCAAATTGGTTTCGTTGTTGCTCATACTGGCGTCTTCTTTCAATTTCCGCCGTTCTTCTACTTTCAAACTGGATTGCTAGCTCAAATAACTTTTCCAGTGTAGTCGGATTCCTTAATTCAATAAAGTCTTGTACTTGGGGAAGTAACCTCGGCAAAATCACTTGAATTATCTCATGATCCGGACGGTTTCCATACAAGAGTTTGAAGACATGAATTTTTCTTAAAATAAAGGTGGAAAGATTTTCGATTCGTTGCTGATATATGCTGAAGGTACTGTTATGTTTTCAAAATGCGAGAAACATACATACATTCATGCAGACCCTTCATTATTTAATTTCTTTAAATGTAATAAAGGGCGATAATATTTCGTGAAAAGTGATACAGATTTTTTAGTGATTCAATGCAAAATGCCATTTTGAGACTAATAGGCCTTCTGGACTAACGCCCCTTTAGGCTAATAATTCATCAAGTGGACATTTTGCTGCAATTAATGCAAATAATTAGAGAAACTTTAAAGAAATCTCGGAAGTCACTATAATTTACTATATCATGAAGATCAAATAGTAAGACATTTTTATTTGGAAATTAAATTTCCAAATAGGAAGATATTTTTGTTTGGAAATTAAATTTTTCCCTACTCTGACAGGGAATTGATACTGGGGATGAGCGACAAAGTCTTTTTTTTTTCAACTGAGGCTTTTATTCCTTTTTTATTTTAATGACTGTTTTATATATCAGAAGTTCTCCCAGTGATTGGAGGTTCACTTTTTGAGGCGAGAACACTATAATTTTGAAGGTCACTATTACTTTAGCATATCTTCTTTCATTCTTAACAGAATAATTCATTCAGAATAAACTTTATTTAAGAAGTACAGATTTTAACCCAAATCATTTCCTTATTTTAACTCTTAGCGATGTTAAAAAAAGGCCAACCCACGGATGTTTGCTTTTGTGAGTTTTCTAGGAATGACGGGGTGAAGCAAACATGCGCTTTTTATGATAGCTTTTTATTGTATCAATGAAGTCGTAAAGTATGTCATAAAAACTTTATGATATCAATAAAATAAGTATTTGCTATATTTTGTGAGCATTACTAATTTCCTTTTAATATACACATTTGAATAAATAACTGTATAATGATTACACGTGATTTAAATTGGTACTTTGGAATATAGTTGTGATTTTGAAAAATAATAATTTTATCAAAAATGAATAATTTTTTCGACGCTAGAAAAAAGACTGATAAGTTTATAAGTCAAGCATGAAATTAGCAAAGCAATAGCTTTGTGTTTGGCGTAGATTTAGTCAAGAACTCTCTAGAGACAGGTTTTTCTGAAGCTGGAACGATGAAAAATGAGCAATGTTCTCGCCGGGACTCGAACCTTGGACCTCTCGAATACGCGCCGAGTGTGCTGACCATTATACCATAAAGGCATGCTAAGAAAGGCGGGAGAAATACGTTATGCACACCACGTTTTTTTAGTTCGGGCGCCACTGTAGAGACATTAGGTATTTTTTGAAAGCAAGAGACATAAAAAATCAGCAATATCTTCGCCGAGACTCGAACCTCTCGAATACGCGCCGAGCGTGCTGACCACTACACCACGAAGGCATGCTAAGAATGCGGGAAAAGTACCTTATAAATCAATCGATTTTGCGGGCAAACACCTCTTCATCAGGAGTAAAGAAATATGCAAGACTGAAAAGAAGAGTGCACAGCTGTCGTATTTATGCCCTATGGCAGTTAAGCGAACGAGAAGTTAGCGCCATCTGTCTGAAAAAATAATAACGAAACTGAAAAATTAAGTTACTCGAATTTTAAAAGTGTTAGGAAGGACTGGATTGGACTAACTAACAAGTCACTAACTAAACAAGATAAATCTTTGTGAATGTGAAAAGCTCCAAGAAAATCCAATTTTTTAACTGAAGAAGCATTTTGAATATTTTTTTAATAGTTTTTACAGACCCAAAATCAAAATTATGGTTAAATTTACAACTATGGTTGGTTTTTACTTCAAGGAACACGAATCTTATATCCAAAAAGGCAAAATTAACAAACCTTTTATAGCAAATCATAGTCAAAAATTTAATCATAATTTTGACTTTCTGCAAAAATTGTTCAAAAGCTTCTTCAATATCTTCAAGCTAACTAATCAAGATTCTTTAGTTAAGTGCAATCTAGTCCTTCCTGACGCTTTTAAAATTCTATTAAACTTAATTTTTCAATTTCATTACCTTTTTTGCCAACAGATGGCGCTACTTTCTCGTTCGCTTTACTACCGTAGGGTATTAAATACGACCATTACATCCCCTGCTTTCCGCGCTTGCAGATTTTTTTGCACCTGATGATGAGGGACCCTATACCTGTTTGTCCTCGAAATCGATTTGAATTCTTGACAAATCTACGTCAAACACAATAAGGTTGGTGCTCTGCTAATTTATATTTTTAAGTGTTAAGGGGAAAAAATGTTTCTTCATTGATAATTGAAGAAAATGTTTTGGATAGATTTGTTAAACGGTAAAGTAATGCAAATCTGTGCTGTTCAAATGAGAAATCATTAATGGTTCTCGGTTTGAATCTCAGACGAAACGAGGCCTGGAGAAGTTTCCAGCCAGGTACAGGTAGGAGTGGGAAGGGCCCCAGAATTTCATCATTTATAGTACAGGTACACTCCCGCTGGACAAACTGTACAGTTCCACACTAATTTTGAGCGAGAACTCATCGGAGGGTGGCGATGATTTTTCTTTACCACCAACCTCTCAAAAGGATACCGTGTATTTTGAGTGCCCCTTGCTTCATAATACTATACGCTTAGAAACATCCATCCATGCCTTCTCAGATATTCGAATCCGGGAACATCGGCATGACAATTAGCGTGACTAATCACTACACCGGCTAAGCGGCGAAATTTCTCTAGGACTGGAATTAAAATTAGGCAAAATTGGACTGGATTTAAAATTAGGCAAAAGAGCAGCCTTAGTCTGGCACAGATTTTTAGGGAAAAATCTATCGATTTCGAAGGTGAATAGATATAGTTTCCTCTTTCTCAGTATCAGAAAAAGTTGTGCAAAATGGGAGAAGAGAAAACCATTTTTATATCGAAGTTAATCAGTAGAGCAAAGTGAACACGACACGTTTCAGTTTTATGCTCTTGGCATCACTCTAGTCTTCGATATGCACTTATTTGGGTTACAGTTGAAAACATCGCTGCAAAAACAGCGTGTGGGGGGGGGGAGAGTCACGATGAAAACGATGTAAGAGTAAAACAATTGTCTCACAAAATATCACGGGAGAAGAAAAAATAAGGGGAAAAAAATCTGAAATGTTTCAGATTTTAAATTACGTCCAAAGGGGCGTTTTTTAACATTTTGTGTGTTACCTTTCTTTATTAAATATCATGTTCTTCGCACTTAAACCATAAAATCCAGTTCAACAGCAATGTTGCAAAATAGTTTTAAAATGAGCATATCTTTAAAATTTCCGATACAGAGACTCATGCATTGGAAGTCAAAAAGTTTTTTCTGCACAACGTTGCCATTGCTCGCTTTGAAATCCTTGAGTTTGTTAATCAAAAATTCGTTAAAGTTTTACAAAATATGAAATCGATAATAAAACAAATTCCAAATTTTAAATTTGGTCTTCCACATGCCCATATTCGATGGAGGATTACGTCATTCAAACTTCGATGGCTCTAGGTACTGTTATTTTTATCACAATGCGAGAAATATACATATATTTATGCAGATTTTTCATTATTTAATTTCTTCAAATATAATGCTTGCATTTTTAATACACAGACTGTGAAAGTCTAGCTCTGTTTATACTATCTACACTTGCGTTTCATATTATGCATTATTTCTATAATTTGTTTTTGTTGCCACCTAAGTCGAGAAAAATTTTTCACTTAAACATGTTGTTCTGAATGACATTAAAATGTTTGTAGCTGTGTGAGAAATACTTTTACGTACACATCGACTGAACAATCATAAAACCGGAGCTACTCTCGCATGTACGTCACTGCTGATGTCATGGATGTCCGAAACCCACGCATGAAGCTTTGATTAACCTTGAAAGATAGTAAATATAGCTTCATACCTTTTAGCTGATAAACACTAATCAACTAATGTGAGTGTTTTATAATTTTCTTTTTGAATTTTTATTTTGACTCGCGAAACCCCTGGGTTCCGCAAAACTCAGTTAAAAGATTTCTGTTCTAAATTAAAGTCAGCTATTTTTCCTTCTTGGAAAATATAAATAAGAAAGATCTGGTTGAGACGGTTGGTTTGGTTTGGTTATCTGGATGTGGCAAAGCGGGAGGCCTAACGGAAGGAAGGTCATCATGGAGAACATTAAAAGAGAGAGAAACTGGGGAGAGAAACTGTAAGAGAAACTGAGTCGTATTTTCACTATACGAGAAGAAAATTACGAAAGTCAGGCTTGCAGCGAGCTCGTTTGCCTGGGTTTTATCGCAAAGTATGTGAGGGTTGTCTTCCTAAGGGGTAGAATGCACTGTGGAGGACTTTCTAAAAGAAAATTAGCTTATATTCAAGTTACACATGGGGAAAGCCGCGAAAACTGCGCATTCAGTTAACCCATTCATCTTAGGTTCGAACCCGACTCAAAGCAGCATTCAGCAATCTAAACCACTTGGCAGGTGGGGCACCCGTTCGTCTGAGCTGGAACCGTGGTCGAACCACCAACATTTGCGGTGTTAATCGGCCGCGGCTACTGGCGGGGATGTTTTTGAGAGGGATTCGAATTCATGTCGTCAAGCAAATATCCCTTTTGCGATGTCGAGTTAGATGTAGTGTTCTCTGTATCAAAATCAGTGGCGTAACTAGGGTGGGGCAAGGGGGGACATCTGTCCCCCGGGCGCAGCATTCAGGGGGCGCCAAATTGATGTTACGAAATTTTAGAATGAAATGCTTTCCGTTCTTGGCACAGAGGAAGGGGCGCAAAATCTTGTTGGCCCCGGGCGCTGAAAACCCTAGCTACGCTTCTGATCAAAATACATATAAATGAGCATATTTGTAAGAAAATTTTCGGTACTTGGAATGTTGACCTATCCCGCTGTCGAGATAGTGAAGTTTCACTGTATCTTTTATTTTCTGAATGAAGTGCTATTTGGAGAACATAACTGTAATTAAAAATTTGCATTGTAAAATTCCTCACAAAGCGAGAAATAGAAATTGTGATTTTGTACATTTCGGCACAAATTGTATACACATTGTTACGTTTTTCTTCTTCTGACACCAGTTGTTACGTTATTTTCTTCCGTCACGTTCGTTCGGGATTTGTGTGGATTTAGAGTGAATAACGGCGACAGCACTTGACGGAATATCGAAACACACTATCTCGCACTCTATGCCAAGCAATCTCTATCAGCTCACTAGGCGAGGTACACACTAACTGACTGCGGATCGGCAGGGTTTATATAGCTTTTGGCTTGTGTTCGAGAACATTTTGGGCTAAGCCGGTAAGAATTCGTTCCAGAAGGTTCTCCATCCGTCCATGGCCTATTGCCAATTTTGTCGCCAAATGGGCGATTTCTCGCCAAATGTGGCAACCCTGCCTTCCCTTGCCATTTTACGGCAACTCTCAAACTGCTTTGCGGGGAAGCTATTTCACCGCGCCTGTACATTTCGTAACAATATGTAGGGAACATTAGATTTCTAACAGCAGAAAGCGTGATAAAATCAATTGTGCCCTATCCGTGATTCAAATCTCCGATACTCCACTTGCTAGCAGGACTTACTTAACAACTTACACCGCAAGAGAACGTACAGGGAACTGAGATTAATCTCTAAAATTCTCTCCTCCACTTACAATATGACTGGAAGGTACTACACCAAATCGACGATGGTGGTGAAGAGTTATCGTTCAGCCGATTGCCGATTTTAATTCTGTAGCCATTACAGATATCATTAGTATTTTTGGAAGCAGGAAAATAATAAAATTAATGGAGTACTCCCCAGAGTTCGAGCTATGCATCTTCCAAATCAACGAGCTGAAACCATTTCCATTTTGACAGCACGCACGAGATAATTCCATACGTTCTCCCCGCTTAACAAAGACTGGGAAGAAGTACAAGGTACTTATTTATAATCTTGTCGGCCATGAAACTGCCGCCAAGCAGCGCGATTCAGCGCCAGTTATAGGTAAGCATAACGAAACAACATACTCGTAAAATCTTTGCTTTCCTTTGATGTAACCTCAATTGATTCTCGATAAGTCGCGTTTTGTTTTTATGAATAAAGGCATAAATTAACTGTTACTGCTGTAAATGTTTCCTCACATTTTGAAAAAATTATTAAAATTTGGGGCTTACCTTCTACAAAACAGGAATGAGCAGCTGTTCCATGTGAAAGACTTTCAGCTTTTTCTGCTCATTTATCAGCTTTTATTAAAAAAAAATAAATTCCTTGGATATTAAAATTTTGATAAAGTGGTGATATAAATGTTATAGAGAATTTTTTGCATTTTTACAAAGAATATCACACTCTTACAGAGAATGTTACATTTTACAGAGATTTTTGTTACAGATATAACATACTAGATGTTATAAAGTATTTTGACACTGTAAAATTTTGACAAATTAAAGCACGGTTATAGATTATTTTACCAAGAGCGATACGAAGTTGCTGAGCAGGAGTTGTGAGTGGATAATTTCCACATAAGTTCTCAGTTACTGAGAAGATTTTACAATTCTGAGAAAGTATTTTGCAAATTCTGAGAAAAAAATGTAGAGGAATAATTTAACAAAATCAAATAATATTACAAAAATAAAAATGAAACCAATAAAATAACAAATAAAATAATAAATAAATAATAAACTAAAATATAAACGAAAGTTATAATTCAGGCTTCCAGGTGCACATGCTCCGGTGGAGGACAACGTTAATCAAAATGTAATGGCTCTAGATGCCATCGTTTTCTCATAATGCCAGGAACATATATACATGCATGCAAATTCTTTATTATTTAATTTCTTTAAATATAATAGTATTGTTGGCAACAATTTAAAAAAGGGATTCGCCATTTATAGTGGACGACGCAAAATCCCGTTTCGAGACTTTCGGACTAACGGCCTTTTGGGCTTAAAATAAAATTGAATAATATATAAAAAAATCTGAAAGCTTTCAGGTTATATATTATACGCCCAAAGGGGCGTTTTGGTGTTACCTTCATTTATTAAGCATCATGCTCTTCGCACTTGAAAATAATAAAATTCAGTTCAACAGTAATATCACAAAATATTTAAAAAGAGCATATCTTTACAATTTCCGATACACAGTCTCGCGCGCTGCAGATAAAAATGTCCCCCCTCCGTACAGTGACGCCATTAATGGCTTTGAAATAGTTGAGTTTGTTAAGTAAAAATTCGTCAAAGTTTTACAAAATATGTAATAGATAATTAAACAAATTCTAGATTCTATATTTGGGCTTCCAGATGTCTATATTCGAGTGGAGGACTACTTTATTCAAAATTTGATGTCTCTAGGAAACGTTGCTTTTTCACAATGCGAGAAACATTATACACTCATGCAGATTCTTCATTGTTTAATTTATTTAAATATAATTCATTAATTCCAGTGGAGCGGTATTTGTGACACCAGGGTGTCTAGGCCAAAGGCCTTATCCCTCGTAGAATATTTTAATTGCTACGAAATATGATGGGAAATAACCATGCAATTAAGTACGTAGTTTTTTAATTAATATAAATCTTATTATTATAATTATATTAATAATTATGAAGAAGTAAGCTGTTAAGCAGGATCAGTCACAGAAGCTGTCGAAGATAACACATATGGATACATGGTAAGTGTACAACTTTTAATAACCTGAATCTGTAATGCATTAAACGATATACAAAGTAAGAATATACACAAACAACACTACAGATAAACTAAAATAAAATGTAAATTTACAGACACATGATACCAGATAAAAACGAAAATGAAAGATGAGGTTACAAAAAACAGCAGATTTTACATAATAGTTATGTTAAGCTGGGCAAGGGGCCTATCCATATTATTCAGGTCATTATAATTGTAATTGCAGATTTTTACTACTATTATCGATAAGATTCTGTTTTTCATGAAAGCTTTTTGTTAGTTTAAAATAATGGGATAACAATTGCTCCATGCCCAGTTCTTCGTGAATCCTGTTATTTCTAATATACCAGGTGGCATTAGTTATCTGTCTGAGCACAGAATTTTGACAAGTTTGCAGTTTTTTCCTGTTGGTTTTGCGAGTATGTGCCCAGACTGGGCTTGCGTCGCATAACAATGGTCTGAGAATGGACTTGTAAATAAGTAACTTATTGTCTATAGATAATACACTGTTCCGAGCAATTAAGGGGTAGAGTTGGGACTTACGAACTCGGAATTTACTGATAATAGAAGTGATGTTTGGGGACCATGTAAGAGTATTATTGAGGATCAATAATACTCTTACATGGACATTATATCTCGTCCCAAGATAAAGGACTTGCTTGGCCCATGGAATGCTAGTATTGTAGAATTTCAGATTGCCTTTAATTTTAGTCTTCTTCGTAAATAATACAGCCTTTGTTTTGTCAACATTTATGGCAATTTTCCATTTAGTAAGCCAAACCTCTAGTATGTAGTTTTGTAATCGTTCGATGACTGGACCAATAAATGCACTTTGTGCCAGGATCGCTGCTGTGTCGTCAGCATACATAGTAAGTGTTGTGTCGTGCGTATAGGGGATGCCGTTCACGTAAATATTAAAATAAATAGGTCCCAGCAAGGACCCCTGGGGGACACCTGCAAGGATTGGGTGTAGAGTAGAGTTTGTTCCTGATACGTGAACAACAAAGTGTCTACTAGTGAGGTAGTAATTAGTAATGTTTATGATGTATTCCGGGAAACCCAGAACGTGTAATTTGTATATGAGAGCATCTATTTAAATATAATGCATGCCTCTAATATTTTGTGGAAACAAACTGAAAAGTGACACGTTGTTTTAGAGTGGACGACGCAAAATGCCATAACGAAATTAATAGCCCTTCTGGGCAAATTGTCGCTTTGAGCATTAAAAAAAAAAAAAAAAAAAAAACACTTATTGCAGAATGCAAAGAACCCTTGTGCAAAAAATGACTT